TTTGGCTAAAATTTATGTTTCCAACAGTCACTCTTGAAAGCTCGATCATCTCAAATCAATCATTGATTAAACTCCATTTTGTCATGTACATGTAAGTTGGCTGAATATAACAATAACCTTTTTATTGGGGGGTTGGGTGATGTTCATGAGTTTTTATGCTGAACATAAATCTAATTTAATGTCCGATTCATCGTTTCATTAAAAAAAAAACCTACTTCGCTACAAGTAAAAATAGAACATTGAATGAATTCAGCATTTTATCTAGATGAAAATGTCAGATGAAAATGTCAGCTCTAGTGTTTAGACTTACATTGAAGGAGCCATTTTTCCCAAGGGCTAGGGAACACTTGCGTCTTGTCGAGGCAGTCATAGTGCAGGGCTCATCCTCCACATCAAGGTTGTTGTCATCGTATAGAATTGACCTGCAGACAGCAACCTCCTCCTGCAAGCACGGCTTGTCTACAGCAGGTTGCCCACACCTATGCAGTGATGCCACTCTCAATGCCTCAACCTTGTCCAGGTTTTGGTACACCCTGCAGCGCCATCCACGAGATAGATGTTCATATCTAAAGCAATCAGAAAAAGTATATTGGTTATAGGATATTGAGATGGGTAGGATATAGAAACATGGTGTATATATGTATCATGCAGAATAAAATATTGGAAAAAAGCTTACACGGTATACCTTTCCATGCAGTCACACACTTTTTAAGAAAACAAATATGAACATGGTACACAAGGGAAATATTCTATGGGATTTTATTTGAGTCAGGGATCTAAAAATATTTTGTATTGTCCTTAATATACCCTTCATTGTATAACTATAAATGGAACACCTCTCTATTACCATTTTTCTTCCCAAATGGTACATTGACTACCTGGGTAGCATTTCTTTTATGTTACATGCTTCCACTACATATTTGTGGACTGCATAATAAATGGAGAAAAAAAAAGACAAGTGATAAATGAATATGTTCTGTACATATAATATCGGTAAGTACATCACATAATCCCTTTAAAAATTTAACCTTTGTCTCATACACTGTAACTACAAAAAGAAACAAAAATAACATTAAAAAGCAATTGCAAAAACGGGTAACTTTTATAGAATAAAATACCTTTCATCGTCAACAAGATCCTTAGCTGCAAGAGCATAGCACACCCCTCCTAGGAGCTGGTAAGCTGTTCCAGAAGGGCCATCTACTGCGAGGACTGGAAGGACATGGGAGCTCTGGAAGTGGGTTGCTGCCTTCATCACGAACTGTTTGGCCTCCATCACTTCCTTCCTGGTACGTGGTCTCTGGAGATCCTTCTCGGGCTCCACAAGTTTTTTGAGGGAGATTTCAGAAATGCCTACATGTAAAGAAATAAAATTTCAGGTCAATGACACATTTTCAAAGATTGTGACATTTAAATCTTTAATGTTTATAAATAATATCCCCTGTGCAGAGAACAATCTACATTTTGAAAATGACACCAGGGGCCCGTTGCATAAAGACTTACTATTATGGTAACTTTGCCATTATGGTAACTACCATGGTAACCGGGCTCAGCAGCCAATCGAAATCAAGGTTTCTATGGTAGTTACCATAATAGTAAGTCTTTATGCAACGGGCCCTGATACATATTATTAGTAACTGGATCAAAACACACAGAGGCTCATCAGGGAAATTTTGTCCTAGAGCTATACAAAAAATATTCCTATAGCCCTTTTCAATTCAATCTCATTTTGCCTTATGTGGAAAATGCAACATATGAACATTGTTTTGGGGAATTGGCAATTAATCATTTTTCAACTTTATTTTGGTTTTAATCAGCAGTTGGCCATTTTACCTTCCCTGTGGCTATTGCAGAGGGGCATTAAATAATCAATTTGGCCCCAAACATGTACTTCATAAACAATAAGAAAAAGGAGATTGTAGTTTTGATGAAAAAAATGGAAATATTTGTGGTATTTGTATAGGAGTCCATTTAAAAATTGTTTGAAGTTATACAAAATCAAATAATAAAAGTGGAATGTCCCAATTTTATCAGGCTTTCAGTGCTGTTATATTGATAAACTATTTTGTACACATTCTCTCCATGATATTTGCATTTCTCTTTGATTTAAAAACTGCCAATCAATAACATCACATTTAAACTTAGTGATATCATGTAGAGAGAAATGTTGTACGTCTGGAATTATTAGTGAAATGAATTTTGTAAAAGAATGGAACACAAACTAACCTTGACATTTTTGTTCAATTGCTGCATCTGAATTCTCCGCCGAATGTTCAGAAGTCTTGTTTCGTCTCTTACGTTCTGGTGGAGTTCCGTCGCTGCTAGATCCAGAACTGCTACGTTTTTGCCTCGATTGTGTGTAAGATTGAGAAGGAAGGAGTTCTTCCTCTGATGACGGAAATGAATAGATCATGTCGTCATTAACGATCGCCATCACTGACAAAACATCGGTCAGGCTGTTCTCCGTTTTTTTCAAAGTCTTTGCCATGTTTGTGACACTCATTTGGCAAAACTTTGCCTGTGTAGAAAGACCATTACTAAAACAGACCTGGGAAGAAAGTAAATCGGACAAATACAGGCATTAATATAAGCTGCTTAATGAAATTATATTCATTTTGCTTTGACAACCTCACACAAAGATTATAAGGGATACAGTTGAATGTTCTACATGTTTGCCTAGAACTAGAAATATCACCGAAAGTGATTAATACTCACTCCCCATGTGTGTGCACGAAAAATGAAGAAGTGGTTTGATATATACAAGATTTTACAGATTTATTGCAATAATAGACCATTACCATGGCAACACACTTTCCGACACATTAAAAAATGTGTCTTGCACATAATCAACTCAAGACCAATATTTGTGCGAAATTTAATGAGCATTGCTCGAAAAATGAAGAAGTGGTTTGATCTGCAAGATTTTACAGATTTATTGCAATAACAGACCATTACCAATGCAACGCACTTTCCGACACATTAAAAAAAATGTCTTGTACATAATCAACTGGAGACCAATATGTGTGCCGAGTTTCATGAGCATTGCTCAAAAAAATGAGGAAGTATACATGTATATAGTTCGATCCACGAGATTTTCCCCCGATATATTACAATAATATGCCGTTCCCATGGCAACGCAGTATCCAACACAGTAAAAAAGTATGTCTTGCACATCTCCATCCTAAGACCAATATGTGTGCCAAGTTTCATGATCATTGCTCAAAAAATGAGGAAGTAGTTCGATCCACAAGATTTGCAACAGACTGACCGACTGACCGCCCGACAACCCGACCGTACGCCAATTCCTATGTACATGTATACCCCCTTCAAACTTCTTTTGGCGGGGGAACATGCAAAAAAAGATCCCTTTTTCCTTGAATGCCAATTTTTACTCATATTTCTTTGTTGTACATGTACATGTAGCTAGGGTAGATATGTTTTGCATAATATACAAATTACAATTCCCCTTGAGAAATCAAGAGTGAAGTTGTAGTCTGCCTGATGATCGTGTCATGTAACATACAACAAATGTGCATGCACAGGACATTCAGAAACTTTTAGTAAGTCGATTTCCTCCGAAATGTACAAACAGTACAGACTATATACCTCTATGTTTAGAGAAACAACCTATATTTTGCACTCTCATTAATTAGATGAATTTTCATTAATACAATTGCGATACAAGTATGGGATGTATAACTTTCAACAGTTTGCACTGCGGTAGAGTTTAGATTCTGCCCTCGTTATAAAGGAGAATAAACTCCTCAGAGACAATTGAATTGTAAGAATGCAGAAAAATTAAAGTAACATAAATGTCAGTGAAATTAAGTTGAAGCAAAAACAGTCAATTAATGAGTAAAGACGTGAATTTAAAAAAAAGTTATGATTACTAATGTTTAATATGGAGATCATACATGAAAAACTTTCCAATTTCTTTTGCAGATATTGCACTAAAATCACCTCTTTTATAGGAGGACTTGGACAAAAATTCTGTTCTATGAATTGACTGAGGAAAAAAATGAAATTCACATATTTTTGTACATGTGGGAGAGTTCTCCTTGTATGACATCACAAAAAGTGACTGCGTTGCCAATATGAGATATTCCATGTCATCAGTGATTGAAACTTTTAATGGTGCACCATCCTCTCAGGTTGGCTAGCACTAGGTGGGTAGTCCAGTAATATGGCATAAAGCTAGTCTTGATACCTTTACAATACATTGTACATTTCAGTATAAATTATACCTGTATAATTGGATTTATAATGGAAAACAGGAATGTATGGAAGGGCATTGTACTAATTTGTTACAAGTTTGGTAACATATTTGTGGTATGAATGTCATAAAGAATAGAGGAAAAATTTGTAATCATTTAAGTGTGCATATATTATAAGACTACATTATCAGGATGCTGCATTCTAGGTTAGGAGCCTGGACAGTTCGAGTACCACCGGTACGATTTCAGGACTCAATTATGTATACAGTTCTGTTTCTGTCCCGTTTAAAGCCAGTATAACCTATAGCACCCTTGTAAGGACCATCTGCATAAGTAAGTCGTGAACTATTATATAAATAGTGTATACTCTATCATACAATAATGAATTATATGTCCGACTAAATTACTAAATTATCCTGAGTCAAAATAAACCTGCACGAGGGATAATTTAGTATTTGGAGTTCATAGTCCAGTATTTATAGTGTACATGATAGAACATTCACTATTTATTATAGTAAATAGACTCCTAAATACAAACCCCCCTCCCATTCATGAATTTCAGATTTCTCCAAAAAGGGAATTAAAAAAAACATTCTTTAGAGAATTCTAGATGTGTTTGTTTTTTTTGTTTTTTGAGAATCCTGAAATTCTGAAGAAAATTTTTTTTGGAGACTTTTTTATTTTGTTTGGTTTTTGTTGAGAATTCAGAATACTTTCTTTCTTTCAAGAATTCATAAACTTTCATAATACAATATGCTGATTTACAGAAATACATTGTCAATCGCTATGTCAAAAGGTATAAGACTAACTTTGAATGTCGCCCAGTACATAGTCTAGCTAGGTTAATCCTCTTTTAAATATCTCTTTAAAAAATCTAATCTAATCTAAGATGGTTAATGTCAGCTTAAAGCTTAAAGGGAAATTGAATCTTTCATAGAAATTTGGTTTGGATGAATGTAGAAAAATCAAACAAATATGAGTTTTTAAAAGTATATACAAGTATGGAGACCCTCCCATTGGCAATGTGACCATGTATGTATGACTTAGTGGGGAAACTTTCAGTTTGTTAGGTATACTTTCCTACATGTAAGTTCCATGTTTAACCAACATTGGCCATTTAGAAAAAAAAGTACTTTGTATAAAAAACACTCTCTGCACATCACATCAGAACAAAAAATACAACACAAGGACAACGCAAAGCGTAGCAAGCCCTCGCTGGAAACAAACGGCATAATACATCAGAACAAGTTACATGTACGTCCATTAGACGGAATTAAGTTACTGACATCTGGGGATTGAATGAAAAGAAAGTTTACTACTTTACGGAATAACCCAAGACATTTGACCTTTGACCTAATGTACATTATTCCAAAATCAAATTTAGGCTGTATTTGATACCATGCATGTACCTTCATATCAAATTTCATGAAAATCTGTCAAACATTTTAAATTATCAAACGGAAACCAGTACGTGTTCACAAGATTTGTTACAGGCGGACGGAAGGACGGACAGTAGCGTTACTATTTTCCCCTCAGATTTCCTCCGCAAGGGGATTATCTGACAAACATTACTAAAGTTATCGAATGGCAGGGGCCGCGGAGCCGCGGGGATTAAGGGGGGCTGCAGCCCCCCACTTTTTTCAGTAGACGTGTACAAAAACGCGAAAATGACTATAAGATTGTGCTTTTTTGCATGATCCGCCCCCCCCCCCACTTTCAAAAAACGCTCCGCGGCCCCTGAATGGAAACCGCATATTCAGATGCATAGTAAGCTATTTTGCATATTTAATGAGCTATGACCTTTGACTTAAATACTCTGAAATCAAACTTAATAGGCTGTATGTTTATACAATATGTACAGTACCTTCATACCATATTTTATAAAAATCCATTAAAGGGGAAGTCCACCCTGAACTTAAGTTGTTTTTAATAAAAGCAGAACAGTGAGAGAAACATATCAGTGAAGGTTTGACGAAAATCCGACAAAGGATACAAAAGTTATGAATTTTTAAAGTTTTCATTTTGTGACGACGTCACATGCGAGCTGCTCTCCTATACGTTGTGTACTGTAAATTCCATAAATTGCCATTTTCTCAGAAAAATAATAATTATTTTACCTGTGCATTCGATATATTATCAGACACATGCTTTTATACACGCCTCTATGAAATAGATCCATTCCTTCATCAAGAACCATGAAAAGGGGGCAATTTATGGAAATTACAGTACACAACATATGGAAGAGCAGCTCGGAAGTGACGTCACAAAATTAAAAATTTAAAATTCATAACTTCGTTATCCTTTGATGGATTTTCGTCAAACCTTCAATGATATGTTTCTCTCATTCTTCTGCTTTTATTAAACCCAACTTAATTTCAGGGTGGACTTCCCCTTTAAACATCGAACGGAAACCACACTTTCGCATATTTAAAGACTTATGACCTTTGACCTACATACTCCAAAATCAGACTCAGGCTGTATTTTGATCCATGTACCTTCATACCAAATTTCATTAAAATAAGTCAAACATTACCGGTACTTAAGCTATCGAACGGAAACTACATTTTAACATATTTAAAGACTTATGACCTTTGACATATATACTCCGAAATCAAACTCGGGCTGAATTTTGATTCCATGACGTCATACCAAAATTCATTAAAATCCATTGAACTTTACTAAAGTTAACGAACTGAAGCCATAATTTGCTATTTTCGCATATTTAATGAGCTATGACCTTTGACCTACATACTCTAAAATCGACCTTAGGCTGTACTTTATACCATGCATGCACCTTCAAATCAAATTTTATTAAACTCTGCAAAACACATCTACAGTTATCAAAAGAAAACCATTTGTTATGGAAGCACGGAAGTAAGGATGGACGGCAGCTTTACTATATCCCCTCTGACTTCATCCGCGAGGGGATAATAAAGTCTTCCACTATGTGTCAGGTATGTTTTAGCTATGTGACTCGACTGGACACACAAAATATGGGTAAACTAATTGAAGTTAGAGAAACCAATCAGTGAAGGTTTTGAATGAGTCAGAAATATTCAACAGGAAAGTCTACACAAATAATATATATTGATTTTTATGAATAAGCAGAAAAATCAGGTTGACAGCTTGATGATAGTTATCTGACAAAATCTGAAAACGGATTATAAGCAATGTTATACAAATTTTAATTTCCAATCAAACAAAAATCTACAACTCTGTGACGGACATGTAACTTAAAAATTCTTATCACATTTTTGTAGACGTTTCCATGGTAGTTGATAAAGTAAAAAATCTAAAAGTGTGTGAAAACATATGGCACAGGCATGAATAAATTGTGTTCAAGAAATTATGAATTCATTCAATTTTAGCACACAATAAAAGTTCATCGCAGAGTTTTAATTTGGGTTTAAAAAAACTTTGTAATAAATCCTTTATCAAATATTCACCAAACTTTTACTGATAATTACTAGATCTAGCTAGCTTGGGTCGGCTCCCAAGACGAAAATCCAATTGGATATCTCTCTGCACACCTGGATCTGTGCGATTGTTAATTAACTCTTAAGCTGCCCCTATGCAATTCACCCAGTGCCACAGTGCTAATCCCTATTGTGCCCGCTACTAATCTCCTGTGTTGCTAAGTTAATTTAGGGTTGGTTCAAGTGCGTGTAGTTTAAATTGTTACTATGTTTGATCCACTATAACATCTCATCTGTATATTGTATAAAAAAGAATTGTACGTTTAAAGTTGTAGGAAATTTAACCCTCTTTCTGTTGATACCAATATCATTTCATGAATCTGTAATTTTGGTAAAGTAAATAAGCACTATCAGTGAGTTGTCAAACCATCCGTTGTCTCATTTCCCGCACACAATCTGAGGGGCCATGATCAAAACTGACAAATTGATGATAAAAATATCGCAATTTTCTCAGGAAAATCCAATGTAACGGTATACGTGAAGCACGCAAAATCAAAACAACAATAAAACCCTCCACAAATACAGAAGCATTCATGCGTGCACGCAATGCGCATCGCACAATAGGCAAAACAATTAGCTTGTTTACTTATGCACGAAAATGTGTCCGTGGCACGCGAGCGGATGAGAGTTTATGTTCTTTGGGTCCATGGCAAGTCAAACAGAAACCCGATTATGTGTGCGTGGCACGCCCAGCGCATGCACAGAACAGTGTTCTTGGCACGATAAGAGTTAAAGAA